GCTCTGGCACAGCCAGGAGCGTCGATCGTCCACCATCGTGATCATGTCTTGCCCACCTGCATTGCCAGCCCCTCGTACATGATCGATCGTGGCAAGCTCAACAGGCATTTTTCTCCTTCCTCTGCTGCCCATCATCTCGGCCTACCGCCTTCCTCTTCCTTCCTCCCCGCCTAGAGTGCGAACAAGGCTTCAGTCATCCAACACACGCCCCTGCCGGCAACACATTCACCTTGTCAAAACACCTCAGCCCATCGTTCAACCTGGTGCTGCCGCGCTGCGCCACTTGAACGTCGTCATGTTGCGCTTCTTGATCCTGGCCACCCTCGTGGCTGTGATCACCGCCGTAAGTTGCATAGAGTTGTGCGCCCGTCGCTGCTCATCACCGGCCTTGAATTCTTGGTCGCCGGCCTCACGTACTCGGTGGCTGCCTCCGCCTAGGAATGTGGTGACAAGCGATTGCAACCCGGAGAGACCTGCGTAAGTTTGCTCCTGCCCGCCTCTCATAAATCCCCAGGACGCCAGGAGGCATCGCGCCATCCTCATCGGTGGATTTGCTTTTGCAACTTAGGATGATGGCAATCGCTTCAACGGCGATGGCTGCTCAGGCATCTGTGGCATTGAAGATGGCTACACCTGTGAATACAATGGCGTCGAGCAAGGAAGCACCTGCTTGCCAGATTTGCCCGATCAATGCATGTTGTAAGTTTAACCTGCTGGCGAACAAAATTGTCCGTCGGGCACTGTACACGCTACCAGCCAAAAGCGCACAATAACATCTCATGCCGTTTTCATATTCTAGCGAATCAAGCTTCCCCACTACAACAACAGTCAGCCAGCGTCAACGACGCGATCACGAAGCCACCCGAGAGCCGGTTGGTGTGCTTGTGCTTTGAAACCGCAGCGAAACCCCATCACCGGCAAAATCTCATTCTGCCGAATATGATGTTCAATCCATAGTGCTCCACGTACTCTCCCTGCAACTGCAAGCCCGGCGCCATCCCCACCAACGAGTATGATCGTGATGGCTGCTTGGTCTGCCGCTGCCTGCCAGGTGAGGCACCAAGCTCCACCACCACGAGCACTCGTCGTGTCACCACCACCACCGAGGCCCCTACCACTACCACGACCACCCGTCGTGTGACCACCACCACCGAGGCTCCCACCACTACCACCACTCGTCGTGTCACCACCACCACCGAGGCCCCCTGTCCCACGTACTCTCCCTGCAACTGCAAGCCCGGCGCCATCCCCACCAACGAGTATGATCGTGATGGCTGCTTGGTCTGCCGCTGCCTGCCAGGTGAGGCACCAAGCTCCACCACCACGACCACCCGTCGTGTGACCACCACCACCGAGGCTCCCACCACTACCACCACTCGTCGTGTCACCACCACCACCGAGGCCCCCTGTCCCACGTACTCTCCCTGCAACTGCAAGCCCGGCGCCATCCCCACCAACGAGTATGATCGTGATGGCTGCTTGGTCTGCCGCTGCCTGCCAGGTGAGGCACCAAGCTCCACCACCACGACCACTCGTCGTGTCACCACCACCACCGAGGCCCCTACCACTACCACGACCACCCGTCGTGTGACCACCACCACCGAGGCTCCCACCACTACCACCACTCGTCGTGTCACCACCACCACCGAGGCCCCCTGTCCCACGTACTCTCCCTGCAACTGCAAGCCC